AGAAGTTTCTAATTCATTTCAAATGTTTAGAATAGCTTACAAATCTGTGATGAACATATTATTTAAAGACTCATTAAGCAACGGGAAAACAACATCATAATTTCTTTCTGTATATCTCCTCTCTGCACGCCTGTTTAGTTTGATACTTTACTTCTGCAGATAAAGCAAAGCCGGTACGATAAAAGTGTAATTCCACAGAAACACAAACAATAAAGCTCCGATTAAACGTGCCACAGTTCAACAGCTGTTAATGAACAGTAAACATATATGACTTCTCTGAAATTTCCTTTATTTCCTTCCGAACTCCTGGAGCCAACACATGTGGAAGGGGAAGGTGAGGAGAGGAATATTCATTAGGTGCAGTTTGTAACTTCACCACTAGATGCTTTTTTGGTATGTTGGTATGCATCTTTTGGAAAAGTCAGCCACAAAGCAACACAACTAAGACAACTAAGGTCAAATATATCCTCTAAAGCTGTATTTTCTGATGTCAAAATCTTACTGCAATTGAATGAATTATGGGTTTTTATGATACATCTCCAGGTGAGCTGATGCTCTTTTAATTAGGTCATGTTCTGATACTGTGTAGATGTTTACGACTGAAAGTTTCTGTCAATCAGATGACAACAACAGTGAACACCCTCTACGAAGGATATAAAAGAAAGCAGCCTGTCGTGTATCTCTGCAGGATTCTTGGAAACATCCAATTGTGCAGATCGTCTCCAGCAAGACACTGACGTCTTCTCATACTTTGAGACTTCAAACTCCAACATGATCGTGCTCCTCTTGTTGTTCGGCCTGGCTCTGGGTGCTGTGGTTCCTCCAAATGAGCAGAGAGTGGCGCTACAGCGAGGCAGCTGTCCCATGTTCTGGTATAGCTTCAACGGCCGCTGCTACAAGTACCTCGCCTCGCCCATGTCCTGGGCCGATGCACAGCTCCACTGTATGTCACTCAGAGCCAACCTGGTGTCTATCCACAGTCAGCAGGAGCAGAATTTCGTCAACTCCCTGATCAGGAATTTTGATCCTGCTGTAAGATTCACCTGGATCGGACTCAATGACATCTATAAAGAAGGCAGATGGATGTGGTCTGATGCGTCTCAAGCCAACTTTTTCTTTTGGCAAACAGGACAACCAGACAACTCTCGAGGATGGGAACACTGTGGACACACCAACTGGGGCTCGACTTTAAGATGGAATGACGGTGCTTGTTCATCGCAATTGCCTTTTGTTTGTGCACTCCGCACAGTTTGTCTCTAGCAACTGAAAATGTTTATTCCTGTGTCAGCTCAGTGACTTTACATGTGTTTGTTTGTGCTGTTCAATGACACCTGCAAGATAAAGACAAAAAGTGCAAGTGTTTTTGTTTATTTTTTTTAAATGAATTTTCATTTTCATGATTGTTGGACACTAAAACAAGTCATTTCAATGTTGTGTTGAAGGAAATATTTTCAAAAGAGTATTTTCTCATATGTAACTCATCCATATCCACATTGGAGAGTTTTTCATAGCACCCTTATTGAATATTTGTGNAAGTGTAGCCCTGTGATAGACTGGTGACCTGTCCAGGGTGTCCCCTGCCTTCGCCCTAAGTCAGCTGGGATAGACTCCAGCCCCTCACGACCCTCGTGAGGATTAAGCAGTGTATAGATAATGGATGGATGGATGTATATGTATGTACATAAATGAGAGAGACAGCAATAACATAACAACAACAACAGCGGTAATCATCAAATGGAAGGAAGAAGAAGAAGTGTGGAGAAAAACAAACACTTTTATAAATGATTAAATAAATCATAAGTGCAGTGGAGGCCGACCCAAACCACCCCCATCCATGTCCAGTTGCCTATTTCCAGTGGGTTTTTTGTTTTGTTTTGTTTTGTTTTATAATTGATACACACAGGGGTTCCCGGCCTAGGCCATCTGTACATCTGGTGTCACAGTATGTTTTTTACAAACTGCATAACACATGATTTTAATGCACCACACTAGAATAGGCATACAAAAAAATAAATAATAATAATAATAACACCAGAAGTTGTTTTATGTTGCACTGGTCGGGGTGGAGTGAGGATGTATCTCCAAGAAGGCATAGAGATAAGGACAGAGGGATGTGACAGCCGAAAAGTGTGGAGAGAGAATGGATTATTGTTTTCCAGAATGACTGAACAGGTGTGCAGTGCCAGAGAGCGTGAATGTGTACAATGTGAGCATGTTTCTGAAATGAAACCCATTTTTGATAGTTTGTAGCCTGTGTAGTGATATCTGTGAAGCACTTTGTACTGTGTAAGTTGTAAATTTGTGTTGTTGGTCATTGAGTATATGTTTTTGCAGATTTGAGACCAGGAATTGGCATCAGGAGCAACTGCTATGTCCTGTTGCCATTTTGTAATTGGTAAAGAAAGTGTACCGTCTATTTTTGTGATTATTTTGTATAGCTTGATCAGCTCATCATCAAGCTCTGCAGAAGCCTGATAACAATCCTGATCATGTGAATCAGGTGTGTTGGCAGAGGGAAACATCTAAAATATGCAGGATTGTGGCCCTCGAGGACCAGGATTGCCCACCCCTGCTCTAGGGTCTAGGGCGAGTTTATCCGAGCTCTGAGTTGTGTTGCTTTGTGGCTGACTTTTTGAAATATATGTTTCTAAAAGGTGCATAACAATATACAGTACAACAGTAAGAACCCTTCAGTGTGTTTTCTCTTGTATGGTTACTTTTGTGTTTTTATTTCATTATTCAAACAGGCCTTAAAGGACCAATGTGAAGGATTTAGTGACATCTAGTGGTGAAGTTACAAACTGCAACTAATGAATAATCCTGCATTAGCACTCAGTCAGCTTGAACAGACTCCCGTTCTATCCGAGCTGACTTAGTGCTAACGTAGGGTAAATCCTGGACAGGTAGCTGGTCATGTTGGACAATGTACACTGTAAAATTGATTGTTTTTAACAGTTTTTACTGTCTTTATTTTTTAACAACGTGTTATTTTATAGATGTTCCCTGTTTTGTTAATAAATAATTGTTTTACGACATTGCAAACATAAAAATATACTTCTAGTTGAACTTTATTTAAATTCAATAAAAATACAACCATGCCAGATTTTCACGTTTTGTTTTTTAAAGATTTTTTTGTCCTTACTTTCAAGATGTGAAAAAAAAATCCCCTTTCTTTTGCATTCTCACAAATAAAATCAAGGTTTCGCAAATCTGAAAGTGGGCTACAGACAACATTGAAGGTTACTCTGAGTGTTTAATATGGTTTTACATCATTAAAATGTGGAGGAGAAAGTGCTACAAGGGATGTTTTTCTTAACTTCCCCTCCAC